AAAGTATTTTCAATTGCTGGTATTTTGGTTATAACAACCAATTAGTTAACTTTGTAATAAGTGAAATTAAATACCTATGTTATAAGAATTTCATAAGCAATGTATTACCAGGAATTGGTTAACGCAACCGCTGGCATTGTAGCGGTTTACCACGGTAATTGGATATAGTCTCATTCAAATGGTATCTTTGTATGGTAATATTGTACGAGAATTATTATTAGATGAATATAACTAGTCACGTGTGTCCTACTCCTGCAGTGAAGATTGGTAATGACTTACGGGAATTTGTTTTTATTTTATAGAAATTGGGCATTTAGAGTTCAAGCATTACAGGGTTCCTATTACTCCTAAGTTTGCAGCCACATTTCTCTACCATTCTTTTATTTTTTATGCATGGTCCATCACTTTGTCATAATCACGGAAAGTGTGGATGAAATAAAATGTCTATGCATACATATGTGAAAAAATGATCAAAGTTTATAGATTTTGTATATGAGAGAAATGGTGTTAAAATACATTTCTAGTAAAATTTTCGCCCAAATACTGATAAATTCTATATTTGAATGACACCTGTTAGTTCTACACCGATTCATGGTTAAAAAAATATGTGCTCCTGCAACCTGGTTTGCAAAACCGGGGTTGAAACTATTTGATTTATTTTTAATTATATGTTATTCAACACGGACAGTATTGCTATGGAAAATACTATTGTAAGAAAACGTTGGTTTTGCTCCTAATCTTTTCTTATTTACTTAAGACATAACTATCCGCTAATAGACCGAATACGAAAACAAGAAATTTCTTAATACGAATGAACAAAAATGCATAGGTATTATATGTTGTGGAACATCTATCTGTTGTTAAACAAAACGCAATAATTCTAATTAGAAACAGATGTGGTTATTCTATATTTGAAAGCGTCGGTCATTTAAAAAATTTTACGTCGGTACATTTAGTACAAATGCACCTAAGCTGTTCTAATTTTTGTTGGAAAGGGCATAAACAATAGAAAATGCAATTAACCTTCACCTGTGTTGCTGCATACGTTAGTTTCACAATTATGTATTTTTTTACTTGAATTTTTTCCGTCTTTATACCGGAATTTGATCTTTATATTATATTATGTTATATTGTTGTTTTTTTTTTGTTTATGTTCGTATGTTAGACTAGAAATTTCTTCACTAAAAAGTCATGGAAATGAAACTTTTTGATTTAATTGAAATATATTCTATAAGTAAGCGAACAGTCCAAATCAAATATTAATATTAACAGTTTCAACAAAATCGCTTGGGTGGTTTATATGTTTTCATTTGTTTTCACAGGTATTTGAAGTGAGTTAACTTTGTTTAAATTATTATTTTTAATAGTAGGTACATAAATTAGAGTCTTTTATTTCTATATTGTTAAGGATTTTTTTTGGTGGAACTAATCTCGCAGCCTTTGACCAGTTGATTTAAAGTAAAAAGTTAATGACCAACACAATATTTAAGTTAATTATCTTTACTAAAGACAAAAAGCTAATATTTAAGCTTTAGACGTCATTTAAGCAAAAAGTAGTAGAACGGAACCGATCCGGAAATGAAATGCCGATTGCATTTCTACGTGTAACCGTTTCTACGTGTCTGGTTGTAAATGGAATGGAAATGCATACGAATATACCATGCGGGTTTTTTAATACATGGTGGGAAAACTAGGCTAGGTTCTTAGTAAATTTGGTTATGGGTGTAATAAGTATAGTAGTTCTTTCTAATTATATATTTTTTCTTTACAAAACAGATATTTTTAAGTTTTCCCTCTTTTTTCGGAGCCATTTTTGTCAAATGGTATTTTAGCGATAGATTTACAGCTGATTTTATATCGCAAAAGAAAAAGTATTGAAACTCGTGATTGTGGAATTTCAAAGACACTGATAAAAATAAAAATCATTTGGACAAGTTGTACTCATTACACATTAGCTGGCACTCTCTCAAGTAATTGAATTTTCCGTTTCCATATGACTGCCTAGTTTTAATTATATAACGGTTAATAATAACCTAATATTTCGTCATTTTGACCGCTAGTTTTCAGTACACCCACTTGTCAAGTGCTGTAATCTTTCACGAGGTAAAGCAACGTTGTGATTGGTCGAGTCAAATGGCGTGATACTGCGCGTGCCGTGTGCGCAATGTGCCGACATTGAATGCCTAGTACGAGTTTCAGCTATCGGTCGTAGCGTCTGTATCGCGTTTGGTATATAAGCAGAGAAATTTAAACCTTAGCTCTGTATGTTATAGTTCCAATTTAGTTGAAGACTTGACACGAATACAACATACCGCTGGCTCCCACAAGCTACGTTAGCAAAATTATCAAGTGACGTAAACCTCACGTCGAACCACGCGGTTTAAAGTCACCTAACAGTAATAAACGAAGGTCATTGGTCGCGTTTGATTAGCAATTCAATGATTTTCCTAATAAATATTAAATTATATGTCCATTTCCGACCTGCATTGACTGGACAAGTTCAAGATCATCGTAGTGCAAAATGCTTGGTAAAGCTTTAGTTTACGCAATGTCCTACTTGGCTCAAGTGACAACCATGAAATTTTAACTAAAAATTAAATGATGTTCGTTTATAAGTAACCTTTAATGCTAGTAGTATTTAAATAATGATCTAAAACCTTATTATTTGTAAAAAAATTACCTGAGCTGTTTAATGATAAAATAAAATAAGTATTTGTTAGTATTTAGGTTGGCGTGCTGTTAACATTGAATGGAGGTTTAAATTATTACTTTAAGTACTTGTGTTCATATAAAGTTAACGAAACGGAAAGTGTGTACCGTTCACTAGAGAAAGTAGAATCTTTCTCAGGCCTTCCTCTGCAGCAGTAGCCACTCAGTTTTCTGAATGTGTGGAGCCACTTATTACTTTCGCCATGTTTTGTGTGTATCACAATTAAAAGATATGATATATAGTAAATATTTTTGTAAGGCTAAACATCTTAATGTAATAAGTGAAAGTCGTTTTTGATCACGTTCGTTCGTAAATTCTATTATCGATTGAGCCTTTTGTTAGTTTATCAAATGAAAAAAAAAAAAACTTTTATGGGGGCTACAATAATGTGTTCGAGGGACAATCAAAAGAATGATTAATGTCACAACGTTTCAATGGGAAATAACATTAGGATTAAACGGATTTAACACTGATGAATGAGTCTCTTTTCCGTTTCTTTGAAGAAATTATGTAGAGTTTTAACGTGTTTACGTACGCACTTAAAATTGTGATATATTTCTAAGGATTTAAAAAATCTGGATATTTTGTTTTCGAAACAATATTTGTTTCTTCTTATAAGACACAGGAGCCTTTTCTTTAAGAAAACAATATGATAGTTTAAAGTAGCTGAGTAGACATAGAAATGTCTGCTCAGCTGTCTAAACAGCTGGTGCGTTTTTTTTAAATTAAATAGTTAGCGGTAACAGACGTTTATGGTACAGTATCAGGTTTAAAATAAGAAATATTAAACGAATTCACAAATTTCGTTGAAACTTAATTCAAAATTTTAACTTTTAACTGCCAGTCGTGTATGAAATACTTGATTACCCTCGCCTTATCGGATATACTTGTTTGTTTTGCAAATCTTATGGACACGCCCATCAGTCAAGGCAAATAACTTACATTATATAATGTGTGCATGCCCTGATTTATTCTATTTAAGTTTCTACTTAATAACATTTGTATACTCTTTACACAAGATATGTAATTAGCTATTTAAAAGGCCGAGTTAAATATTACGTAAAACTCTCAAATATTAAATGTTTTGTCCTTATCATTCCCGTGTTAATAAATAAGACAGAACATTATATAATATGCCTTTGAGTTAATGTAAGACTAAAAATCGGTGTTCGTCAATTGGCCAAGTATTCTTTCGTTGCAATACATAAGCATTTATTATTTATGAACTGTATATTTATGACTTTTAAAGTAGTTTATGATATATATACCCTTGTTTTGTTATTGCGGTTATCATATAGGTATTTTCGCAATGATAACAAACCATTGGTTTTATCGGGTTAGTTTTATGTGGATTAATTTTTATTTCGTAGATTGTACTATCAATTATAGACCGTATATTTTCTTTTGTCTTATTATAAAATTAAAGGTTAAACACGATGTATGAAAAATTTAAGAAATTGTAACCATGGTAACATCGTGTTGCAGTACGCCTTCAGCACATGTTGCGGTACCAGATCAGAAATCAAAATTTACGACATTCTTTGGATTTCATTGTTTCTTAATTATTATAAAATTGCTTATTAAATTTTTCAATTTAAATATTATTTTATTTAATACTAATCGTTCACACGCGAGACTGGTAAAGTATCTCATTGCGTTTTTGTATATAGTAATTTTAACAAATAACATCTCCGAATATCTTTCTTAATTTCGGTATTGATATTATTAGATATACATTCTTTGGCTTTTAGAGTTTATTACAAGCTTCATATGCTTAAATTAATAAAGAAATATGATAATTTTAATTGAATATGGGTATTCTAGTACCCCTTATTTAAGCAAACAGCTGTGTCATTGTTGAAATATATGCAATGTAATCTTCGTTCATTCTTGCAATCCAAATGATTAATGATGCAGTGTTTAAACGCCCATTTTGAATAAAATTAACTTACGGTTTTGGCTGGTCATATTAATATAAATTGTAAATTCTATGTTGTTTTCACGACTTTGATACAGCTGTTATGATGATATAGATACATCGAACCCTGAATAAGGTTTCACTTTTAGTGAGAGATAGTAACTTTATATGATTTGTTGTATAGCTGTACCCCACGTCTGCGAAGGGTTATTAAAACAGACTAGAATTCAATGGCGGAGTACCAACAGGCTCTAGAATCTATTGTGACGTTTTTGTCTTATTATACATACTTTATCTATTGACACAATATTGAGGGTAGTCGCAAAAACTTATCTAAGTTTTTGTTTAAATTTGATTAACGTATAAAACAGAATGCACTTCGGATATTTTGAAACCCGCGGGGTGCTAATTAAACAGGTTAGCAATTCCGGTTAGTATTTTCATTTTTAGTGAGCGTTGGTCAGTCAACCGCCCAAGGTTAGCTTTGAGGTTACCTCCTTTTGTAGAAGTATAATTCGTCCCATCCGTGATTTTGATTGATTGACTGGGATGTTGTATGGAAATGTTGAAGGTTTTTTAATAACCTTAACGTATGCACTTTTGTAAGACATGCGTAACATCGAAACGTCTTATTTTAAAATTCATATTTTAAATATTTTGAGAGAGTATATTCAATTAATTACGCCAAGCTAATCAACATTTTAATGACTTATTGTTATTTAAACCGTTCAAGTATTTTTTTCAATGGTTTTTCGTTATAGGCGTGCTGGATGACGTCAAAAAAGAGTTCGCCATCGGCGATGATATGGCGGGCCTGCTTCAGACGGTGTTCGTGGTGGCATATATGATATTCGCGCCTATTTTCGGCTACCTGGGTGACAGGTATTCGCGAAGGGCGATCATGGCGTTCGGAGTGGGTCTGTGGAGTGCCACGACGCTTATCGGGTCTTTTATACCGGTAAGTATTTTATTTTTGCGATCATTAGAATGGTAACGCATTTATTTACAAAAATTCATGTGATTTTTTTATTGAAGATACGAAGATATAAAAACAAGGAATTTGAAAATAATATGTAATAACAAATATAAGTTTAAATTTAAAAAAAACTGTAAAAACTATTGTGTTAGTCGAAGGCTATTTTGGTTTAAATAAATAGGCACAGATAGATCTATGGTCCATGTGACAATTAAGTTATGGGACTGAATAAGTTATAGTAATTTTATTTATACATAAGGATTTTCGATTCGCGTATATAGGAAAATTTGTATAAATTGTTTATTAATTAAAGTTCGTTTTACCTCAATCATACGATACTGAAATTATGTATTATCAATGTATTATAAAAGGAAAAATGTTTGTTGGGTTTCCCTGGGAACTAAATTAAGTAGTTATAATTATAGTTGGTATCTATTTTTTTATCCCTCAATATGACCATATGTGCGAGTGATTGTTTAAACTGCAAGTTGACGGCTTTTTGTAAGCCGAATTATTGTTTCACCAGGAATAGAACCTAGACTACTGGCTAAGCCCAAGAGGGTTATAGTAATAAATTTTATTATATTATTTTACTAAATGACATATACATCTTGTAGAAAGACACTAAAATTACATTTAAAAATAAAAATTATTTTGTTTCGTATAAGTGATACGACGCGACGGCATGTAGTGAGCACATAGTTGGCAAACTTTCATGTATACCGTATTATATCTACAGAATCAATACTAAACTTGAAAATGCATCCAGGATTGCAAGTCAAGGTTGGCTATTTAGATTTAACTTGGTTTCTTATAAATATTGTTTTTTTGTAGCATTTCGCAACATTCGCGGTATTTCGTGGTCTTGTGGGCATTGGTGAGGCGTCGTACTCAACGATAGCTCCGACAATCATCAGCGATCTCTTTGTGGGGAATGTCCGGTCAAAGATGCTTGCCTTTTTCTACTTCGCGATTCCGGTTGGAAGGTAAGACTTGAGCTTTATTCTTTTCTACTATCAATATGTCCAAAAGTGAAAAAAATATATTGTTTTGAGACGTTGCGGAATATGGGTAATATATGTATTGTCTATGTATGTTTATGTATTTTGCATCAGTATGTTAAGGGGTGCCTATTATACAAATAAACGCGATTAAAAACGGCTGCGAAGTGTTCGAAAACAAACAGAAATCTAAAAAAAACTATATATATATAATAACCCGGTTACCGGGTCAATAAATACACAATGTAATCTTGTAAGAAATTAATATCAAAATGCCGGTTTGGCAAACATTGATGCTGGCTAAACTATAACAAGAATATATGCATTTTTCTTCGTTTTCCCCCTTTCTTTTTAAAATACAATTTTAATTCGGTCTAAAAATGCTGTAAAACACAATATTTAATATATAATTATTAGTGGTAGCGGTTGTAATGTATATTTTTTGGCAATGAATAATATATAAAGACAAAATTAATCTAAATCTAAAAACAAATGAATCACATCGCGTCATTACGTCATTATCGCGCGAGACGGATTTGTTATTGACATTGGGTGATTGAACTTAACGGGTCACAGGGGGCGGTGATAAAGGAAAAGTTTATCTGGATAATAATAATTATAGTTCAACTGAATGCATGCTTGCCTAAGCATATTCTGTTGAATATTTTTTTAGCATTCATTGAGCGTTTATTGAATTACCAGCATTATTCTCAAAACGTACAAGTCGTCATAGTCGTAGAATAGTGACGGATCTGACAAATAGTAAACTTTATAGGGCAGCCATTTCAAGATAATATAATCATGTTAGTTTTTGTCATAACTATTTTAATTCATATTCCGTTATAATGAAAATTGGCATACAAGCAAACAAAAGGGTTTGTTTGAAACAAAATAAAAATAATATTACATTAACATTAAATTACACAGTTTTCTAGAAAAATCATATGTTTCTATCAAATCCGTCACTTTACTGACTGATTAATTTGAAATTTAAAACACATGGATTTTTTTTAATGTAGCCGTAATATTTAATCAATGTAGTATCCAAATATGATAAAAACTGGATTTTGGTTTTTTTCCAAATCCGACATTGTTTTCGATCATGACGAAGTTGAGAATTTCGATATGTAGTATCAAAATGCCATATCCGTGTTAACTACCGTCAAAATTCACTCAGCCCACCTTGAATCGCGAATTATTAGAAAACGTAGTTTTTGTCTAAAAATATTCGTTGTAATGGAACATTACCTTCGGCTTGCGTCATGTTGCATTTAACGTATGATCGGTCGATAATTACAGCTAATTTTAGATTTTTACACGTAATTTGTTTTGATGTTATGATTAGTTCTATCGTGTTTTTTTTTAAATAATATTTATAGACAGTGAATGTTTATAGAACTTTGTATGATGACTTTAGACTTTTACACGTAGTTTTTAAGAACGAAGAAACAATGATTTTGCTAACGTCAACATATTTACAACCTAGTTCACAATAAACTTCCGTTTTGCTTATACATTCCGTCATTTGATGGATAATATTGTATTACAAACACAATATATATTTAAATATAAATTGTCTGAATTCAGAATTAGGAAGGACATTTACTAATATTACGTAAAATATATCGCGACTGGTTTGTAAGGTTACAAACTGATCGTGACTCCAAAGCATCTATTTTGAGCAACTCCTAAATAATTTACTCTGACGAATACTAAAAGTGCGTAGGCCGTAACTTAATTAAGATGTCAATTACATGTACCGCTTCCCTCTTGATTTGTAATGACTCGAGGATATCCTGAGAGCGTGTCAACGACATTCTTAATGGAAATAATTTAGGGTTCGGATCTTGAGGGTTTCATCCTAACCTTGGAAATGCAAAAGGATACGAGAAGTGTGGAAAAGTTTGGAATTTTAAAGTTGTTGTTTGTCGAGTGCACGTCAATGCATTTAAATATTTCATAAAAAATTATGCAATTGTTCGTATATTTTTTTACTTATGACCAGAAATTTGTTTGTAAGAAACTTAGTAGGTTATATCTTAAACAGTTAATTGATACTCTCCCAACTATTTTTTGTCTTAAGTTGAGGTTGACACATCTTGTAACTTGTCTTATATGTACTTAAAATAGCTTGTGATTAACGCTGGAAGGTCACTTGATGACGTAAGAAATGCTTGAGAATAATTGGATTGTACCGAATGTAAAGAGGAAGTGCCATTTATGATTTTTGAACTTTATAGATAGTTTTTTATTTACAATTTCGTGGAGAGTTACGATAAAAATATGTTTTAAAGGCAATATTTTTATTAATACGATAGTGAATAATAAAACTTAAACTGAGCTGTTTAGAAACTATGCAATTGTATGTACGTTCTTAAAGGTTTTGGTGTTTTATACTTATAAATACAAATAAAAAAAATATAATATTCATATTTCCACATCTTTCTCTTGCTTACGCTCAAAAAGTAATGCTTCTTTGCCAACTTGAAATAGTTCATTTTTCGCCGGGAATCTACCGTTAAGGGCCTGGGACTAGTGCTAGACAGGCTACTTCTAATTAATTTGCGATATTTGTTTTAAAATAAGTGTTGTTTGATGATTTGGTATTTTAAAAGAGTACCGAGAGTTTTTTACGCCGGCTTTTTCTCTCGGCCTACACCCTCTGTCTTCTTTGCTGATGAGTAGGGATGCCTACAAATTCAAATTTAATGACGTGGAATAAGTGATACATGTGTCTTAATATGTTCCTTAATAAACATACTTTATTTTTTATTTTATTTTATTTATTTTACAACTTAACAGAGATACTAGACGTAGGAACACCTTTACAGGCCTTTTGTCCCAAACCATAATCTTAAATCTTAATATTGTATTGTACAATTTTAACTACATTTTTAAAATTTTTGTCAACCATTTGTTGCAGTGGTTTCGGTTACATAGTTGGCTCCGTAGCCGGTGCTATGGCGGGAGACTGGAGATATGGCCTTCGAGTCACGCCCTTTCTTGGGGCGGCTGCTGTAGCCCTGATGATCTTTGTCATGGAGAACCCTGAGAGAGGACAGGCGGAGGATTGTCATATGAAACCAACGTCGTACCGCGACGACCTTAAGTCTTTAGTAAAGAAGTAAGTGGTAATTAGTAACTTTCACTTTATTGGTTTAACAATGCCCATACATACAATAATAGTATAATATACAAACAAGGAAATGTTCTTATTTTAAGCCTAATTGTTATTAGTTCCAATATATATATCACTTTGAGATTTTTTTTTTGTTAGCTTAAGGATCGGTGTTTTTAATCTGTCCTTTGAATTTGTGACATTAAATAAGGTTACGTAATCAGTATTATATAAATTCATATACAATTTCAGTCCGTCCTTTATGTTGTCATCCCTGGCGTTTACCTGTGTGGCCTTCGTGACTGGCGCTCTGGCGTGGTGGGGGCCACAGTTTATATTCCTGGGACTGACATTACAGCCTAACACTGACATTACGCTTGAAAGGTATGTCTAGGTTATAAAGAAATATGTGGAATTTCAAAAAATTTCAAGGAATATATAAAACAATTCTAATATTTTTTAGTTTTTAACTGATAAAACAGATTTTTTTAGTAGCATTAAATAGACGATTTGAATGTGTTAATTCCTATTGACTCGACTGTTGTTTATCAATATTGGTTTATCCTAAAAATATAATGGAAATTAACGATTGTGTTCTAAGAATATTACTTGCATCGCTTACTTTACTGAACCTTTAATATCTTTTGAATACACTTCCTCTGTGCCTTCATTTTTGAGTCTTACTCTCTGCCTTCATACGTATTACTGCACCGATTTTTACCACCGTAAACATAGTATGCCCCTCACAAGTACTGCCCGTTTTCGAACGAGTTCCGTTTACAATGTATACAGTGGTGAGGTTGGGTTATAGCGTGTCATACAAGTTCGGACTGGTGGGAATGTTTGCTGGGACGTGCGGAGTCCCGCTGGGTTCCGCCCTGGCCCAGCGCCTGCGAGCACGGTACCCAGACGTGGACCCGCTAATCTGCAGCTTCGCCCTTCTGACCTCGGCGCCCTTGGTCTACTTAGCTCTTGTCGCCGTCACCGCGCTCCCAGCTTTCACCTATCTACTTATCTTCCTCGGAATGGTCACCCTCAATCTGACCTGGTCTATCGTCGCAGACATCGTTCTGGTGAGGATCGAGATAACGATCCCGGCAACAATGTACTCATGTTAGGCTAGCTTTAATTATTATTAATGCAATCATCCATACTAATGATAGCATGGCCAATGTCATTGCTTGTTTTATTGCTAGTTACGAACCGCCTATGACAATTGACATGACGCTTACCATAGTGCTTGTACCAAAAGCACAGAGTCATAATTGACATAGACGGTGCTATAAGCACGTGACGTCAGTCAGTACTGACGGTGAGATGTTACGAAGGGTGGCGTTAATCTTCGGCGCGATCACGATGTTGTCTGGCGTGGTTGGAGTTCCGTTGGGCGCGTGGCTTGGTGCGGCACTGACCAAGCGATTCCCTCGCTCGCATCCTATCATCTGTGGGGTTGGCCTCCTCGTCTCAGCGCCAATGATGACACTAGCGATGCTGCTCTGCGAGGGATATTTCTACGCTCCATTCGTCCTCATGTTTTTTGGGGAGGTCGCTCTGAATCTCAACTGGGCTATTGTTGCTGATATGTCGCTGGTAAGATTTGGGGATGTGGACTAAGGGAATATAGGCGGGACGTATACGTGTCTTGATGCATACGCGGTATTTTACTCACAAATGTAGAATTACCATAGGCTCTATAGGAAGTCGAATATCCTATGTTAATTATCTAATTTGTTAGTACAATGCAACCAGGTGTTGAGAAAAATATTTATGCATTTGAACTTGAATGTTTGTTTGCTCGCTAACATCAGTTGAATGTTTTTAATTTATGGTTCTGCATCAAGTCTGCGACACATCTTTACAGTTTGGACTTTAAACTTTCTAATTTTACATGTAAATAATACTTCCGTAGTGCTTCACGCTCCACTAGTGTGAAAAGTAAATAGAGTAACAGCTAGAACTTTGAATGTAGTTATAAAGTAGAAGTGCCAGATAACTGTAAATAACTTAAAATTCATATAATGCATGGGGTTCATTTTGGTATGTAGTCTTAAGTTGGTTGCGAAATTATCGATTTCGTGACCTATAGTGCAAATAAATGAAGGTTGCAAAATTAGAGCATGCATTTTATTCGCATATTCATGTCATAACGCACGATCACTTGAAACCAGTCACACATGAGTACATTGTACAGCCGACAGTTATAGAAAGTCGTTATCTCGTTTTTATTTTAATCTGTGCTAAATGCTGGTTTCAAGTTTTCGGATTAGCGACATCTATTGAGAACGTTGCGAAACACAATCTAGTTCAGAGTTCAAACCTTGAGGAAGGTTGTATGTGAAGTTATGCTAATTAGTATCTTATAATATAGGTGGCGCTATTTCACGAATTACTTAAGATTATCTCTTTGTCGGTCATTGACCACAATTACTGTACCGATTTATAGTTTCATACTCGACCGAACAAAGAATCTAATTATCATATTTTTTCTATTCATTGCGTCGCTAAATAATGTAGATTAATTTGTTGTAGAGTTTACTAGATTGTTTTATTTAGTTTGTTCAGAATTGGTCAAATGAATGCTAATGTTTCAAGTAGCTTTATTATTTTAACCAAAATACATCAAAATGGCGGAAAATATCCTCTTTTACGTAGTTCAAATTATATATAAAACAATCAATATTATATTATTTATCAAAAGGTTTATTTATTTAAATATTAATATTATTTGTGTAGTACGTGGTCATACCACCAAGGAGATCGACGGCTGAGGCATTCCAGATTTTAATATCACACATGTTTGGGGACGCAGGCAGTCCCTACTTAGTTGGTGTTGTAAGTATCATAAATTGCATTTATCCCCACTATTGCATAGATTATTCGACAGATGCCAAAGAGAACTTGAGGCAAAACAGTCTAATCGTCTGTGGTTTTTTCTTCTTTCATGTCTTAACGAATAAAATACCTAATTTCATTCTACCAATTTAAACAATTATGACAATAATTAAAAAATACTTTCAACCCTATGTCGTTAATTAAAATTTTACTTTTCTTTGGGTGCAAAGAAATAAGCGTACCTTCCCACAGGTCGGCAAAACGCAATGATATATTTGACAAGATATTAAAAACGGATTCAATAATTTCGGATTATTAATTAGTGACTTTGGATATTCTATTCCATATTTATTTCATATATTATATTGTTTAATTCTGTTAAGGCTATAAAATTTCAAACTAAACATTAATAATCTGAAGATCTCGCCAAAACACTTCTCCAGGCAAGAGTCGTACCAGTACCTAAGATGTATCAGGCCAATAAGCACATAAATATACGTACATATTATATTATTTTTTAATCAAGAACGGTCTCTGAAAAAGTTAAACTCTAGGATAGTATTAGGATTAGACAGGGGAAAATATTTTTATCGAAAAGTCTCACATAAAATTTATTACAGATATCCGAAGCCCTAAAACTCTACTATTCAACACCGTCAGAGCCTGCTAGCAAAACGGCGGAATTTCGTTCGTTACAATACGCGTTATTCGTAACTTGCTTCGTCGAAGTGGTCGGCGGGATATTCTTTCTCATCACCGCGCTCTATATCGTCAGGGATAAACTGAAAGTCGATAGAGCTATCGCTGGTAAGTCACAAGTTCAAAATAGTAATCGTAATGGCTACGAGTTGTTTTTTAGCTAAGCGTGACTAATTTTCGAGATAGCGTTTTCGGTATTTGCTGTGTTAGTTATCTAGATTTTGTATAGTGTTGAAGTTTTCGCGAAATTATTATATAATATAAAAAAAAACTTAAAATGGTTTTTCTTTAATGAAACTAATCTTAGCTAACGAATTATTTTATGGTTGAAAAAACAAAGAAAATCTAAACGATTTTATGACTTTTTTATTAGGAAAAAAGCTGACTTGCGACGACGATTCGTAGAAGTTACCAATGGAATTCTGAAACATGAATAATATGTTTTATTTTATTTTAGTTATGGTCGTTATGTTTCTATGATTTTTCAAGTGCAATTACTTTAATGTTACGAGTAAAAATATTCTTAAACTTCTATTAATCTTAAAATATTGCTTTTAGTCACTAACAAGGGTCTCCACAAAGGTTATTTGCAAGGGCTATTGTTGATGTGCAATTTTTTGTGTTGAAAATTCTTGTCAGTATTCGTAGCCGAATTGAATAAATAAAATAAGAAATGGAATTTCGAAAAAGTTATTAGTTTTAGTATGTTATTTAGTTTTACGAAGCGAGAAATAAAATTTGTTATACATATTTTAATAGCACCTGAAGAAATATTCTTTGATGAGACCCAATTTCTTTGCTTTATTAGCTGCATAATCTTTTTCGTTTAATGTAAGTAGCGCGCTTAAATGCCACTTCACATTGTTTCAGTTACTTCAAAAGTAGTTTAGGTGAGTGCTAGTAGCTGTTATTTTTGCTTCTTGCTTATGGTTAACGCTTTGCGCAATATTTTTTACCTTTTATAGGTCCTGTTCTCAATACTTATTTGAGATCATATGATCTTATAATATTAATACATAATCTGGTCGAACATTACCTACGTGAAATGGTTAATCCGAAAGAATAGTAACAAATGTTTGTAAGCGCTCCGTGGTTGTTTTTGGAACTAAACGGAACGAAGATATATCCGAATATTATTCGTGTATATATCATTTTTTTCTTTTTTTCTTCTGTCCATTTAACTTCTTTCTGACACTTAATAAGTGTACTTGTTTACCTACATGAATAAAGATATTTTGATTGGTTTTTAATTACATTTTTATGTGCAATCTCAGTATTTATTACCGTATTTACGAACATTTGACTCGATTATTGAAATGTTTGGGAATACTACGGTAAATTTATAATATAAAATTAAATATTTTGTGCTGCGTTCTATAATCTATCATTGAATTATCGAACAGAATATATTTAACCTAATTTTCATGCAAACTAGATACAATGTAAAAGTTATCAAGGTAATTTACACTCACTTCATATATGATATATCTGTACCTACCTGTAGGATATTACAATACCCACCAGAAATCTCAAAAATTATTAAACCCGTCGAACGAACGTAATTTCAATGGGTCATCTTGATATAATTTTGAGTCACCGAGATATAATTTGTGGCCAAAATATATAAAATTCATACGCTTACGAGATTTAGCACACGCGTTTTAAAGTCTAAAGGGATACTTACTCAAATTAATTCTAACAATATCATTATTTATTTAAAGTCGGTTAATAATATAGACAAATGGGGTTGGTAAAAAACTTTTTAAGAACGTTATTTTTTTTAATTTTATTATTTTTGTTTCTTTACAGAAGCCGAGGCGCAGAACACAGAGCCGTCTCACAGTAACGCGCAAGAGCCATTAGGAGGAGATTAGAATAGTTTTAGTTAAATTCGCGTTTTAGATCTGTGAGATGATTCACGAAATGATCGTTTCGAGATAATTTATCACAAAATATTGCTTTGATAAATTAACTAAATGATCAACGAAGAAGACTGATTAAGTATGCACAGCAAATAGGGTTGAGTGAGAAAGGCAATACGCGCCTGAGTAGGAACAGCCGTGTGGTTTGGGGCACACTTGGCTAGTGATAGGATTAATACTACCGTACGCGAACAATTTTAGAACTTGCGTAAATCGTGATAGAATTAGGATGTCATTAGTATTAAAATGTTACTCGTTTATAAAAGAAATGGCGTTGTCCTGTCTCGGCTTTAATTGCAGTAAATATCGCTTCTGCAATTTTCTTCTTTAAAACAAAATTTAAAAATACTAAATATATTTACATCACAATTTAATAATTTAGGAAATGCTTTTAATGTTAGCGAAAGAGACAACCATCCGTTCCTAGGCCAGTTATGTCAATGTTGTCTTACCCCTTACAAAAGCTAAACATTGAAATCAGGTGATTCTAGTCAAGTGTGCAACAAGCCTCACCTCAGCCTAAGTACATAATGTTTATTTGTCAATATTTAATTACCTCAAGCTCTTGTTACACAAGAAATAGATATTTATTTTGTTCATCGTAAAGTATTAAATTATTATTCAATGCAAAATTTATCTGTTGTATTCATACAGTTTAACGATTAGTGCAAATTATATACTGTCCCAGATGCATTTATGATTAATTTATTTATGGATATTCTGTTTTATTCTTATCAATTTCATTGTCATTAGAATTCTTCCTTAAGTTTTTCTTTCTATTCTCATGTTATCGCCTACAGATGGCGCCAATATAAATTTCTAATGTAAGGGAAGCTTATTCATAAAAACTAAATCAGTGTATATGCACCATATTCTAACGTCCAAATATTCAAACCATTTCATCAGAGCGTAAATATAATTGAACGAAAGAGACGAAATAGTACTTTGGAGTGCCATTACTGATTTAGTTTGTTGAAGGGGGTAAGTGTATATTAAGACTATAATTTTCCTAGAGTTGAAATCAAATGCAATAATTATTATGTAGTTGTATTATTAGATTCGTGAGTCTGTATTTCAAAACGTCACAATCTGGTTCAATCTGGTTTGATCTATGGTTTAAACTGATGCTAGGTTTTCGTTTTAAAGTACAGATCTATTTGTTGGGTTGTTCATTAACTTGAATGTGCTTTAACAAGTTGGTAAGTGACTTATGCAAAGTTAAACTGTAATGAATGACAATGAAGACTGAATTGTTTAGAATTCCTAATAGTGAAATTTGTTTTTGTAAATATCGTGTAATAATGGGAATTGAAAATAAATTATTTTTGAAATTATATTGTTTTATTTGAATAATAATCAATTTATGGCACAAAACTTCTTTTACAATAATTCAGTTGAATAATTATGTACTTCAAATTTAAATTTCAAAACATTAATAAACTATTTTAAAACTAAAATAATTTTTAATTCGTTTTATTATAGAATTTATTGTTCCATAAGCTTATGGAAACAAATATAAACAGTAAAGAATTTTGTCACAAATATAGTTAAAAGAGAAATATTCGACCAGTTTAATACAAATTTAAGTACAAAAATCACCAAATTCAGCTAAGATACATAAACATCAACCATAATTTTGGTGTAACTTCTACGATAACATTGGTAATATCACGAGGTAGTTAAAAACTAAAATTTAAAATAACAATCAAAATGGAAACATTCTCAGGAACTAAACATCATTAAAAAACAAACATAAAACAAAATATTCATATTTCTCAACCTCGAAAAACAGTGTGTTGTCAAACATGTTTTTGGGTTCAAATCCTGGACTTACCTTACCAGAACTGATCAAGAAATATTAACAAGGCATCATAAAAACTAAATTTTTTAACATGAGTATCATTAAAATAGGTGGGATAATTATTTAAACTAAATCTAGGTAAAAATACTGAATTAAAACGCGCTGAATTATAACACTATTTTCGACATCGTATATTAATAAGATAGTTCATACTAATGAAATATGTTCAATTTGAAAATGCTGCAAGTTTAAGAACTAGTTAAAATAATAGCGGCACCTTCCGTAGATTTGACAACAATTAAAATTTAAAAAAATATTAATATTTATTTGAACAGATATAAACATAATCCAACAATCTAACTAATATTCAAATTATCATTTAAGTAGTATAAGCGATGTCAAATAGCCCTTCGAATAATTGGCGCTCTTATATTTTTTTTAAAATTAAATTGGAAAACGCGCTTAAAAGGCCCAAAGTGTTATGTATCGTCTTGTCAAAATAAAGAAGGCTATAACATTACTTGAAAGTTTTGTGCAAATGGCAATTAGAATGTTGTTTCAAATGAACCAGTCATTGTCATTTACTTGACAGTTCCATCTGTCAGTCATTCTGCCATTAACATTGATTGTCAAAATAAGAATGCTATAACATTACTTGAAAGTTTTGTGCAAATGGCAATTAGAATGTTGTTTTAAATGAACCAGTCATTGTCATTTACTTGACAGTTCAATCTGTCAGTCATTCTATCCTTAATATTGATTGTCAAAATAAGAATCATTCATATGAGCAGCAGCTAGTGGCTGAACTAGTGTCATCATTTTCGTCTTTTCTCCCAACTTTAACCTTTTTGGCAATCGGCTCAGCCGTATTTGATGAGTCGCTGAGTGGTCTCTTATTAGCTGCTACTAGGCGGACGACAGCTACGTCGGCTTTCTCGTTATTATTGTCTTCGTTTCCATTTTTTAATTGATGTTGCGACAACAAAACATTAATCCTTAGGTTGATATCGTCATCCTGAAAAAATATTTTAAATCAATCTGTTTAACAAGTTATGAATGCAATTAATTGACCACTTTTATCGCAAAATTTCGGAAACGTTATCGAAAAACAAAGAATTCTTTAAATTTATAATATTTTATTTGTATATCAAATCACACTATGATAGAGCCTACAGTCTCCAGTACGAAATATCAAGAACACTGTAACATTTGTCGTGTCGTGTCGGATATGCCAACTATAAAGGAAAATAAGTTGCATAATTTAACGATATATGAGCATGTTTTTGTGAACGAATAAATTTATTAATGAAATATGATATGCCTGGTGTTGACATATATTAAGACAAACTCAAAGGTTTTCTATTCCACAATAATTTAATGCCTTACCTGCATCCATGGGTGCTTTAATATCTGCTCTAGCGAGATGCGCCTTCGTACATTGACGGTAAGCATTCTCTTCATCAGCAGCTTGGCTTGAAGACTGACGTCACGCCAGCAACTAGACGAGTACCGATAGCGGCCTGAGAGTATTTGCTCGCTCAAGGGGAGCTCTTGGTACTCCGGGGAGAATGGCAAGTAACCCACCAGACTGGAAAACACCATTACTTATGTGAAAAAACAAAATTAAATTAATTTAAACTATCGTATCGGATAATCATTTATAAGACGTAAAAATATTAGCAAATTGACGTTTGAACGTTTTACGTTCGGTTATTCTAAAATTAAATTTATTAAACAAATTAATCAAGCACTTATTCATATAGCCATATTTTATTACAATTTGTAATGTGTGTTTAGGCGTACTTGGTATGAAAAGTGACATGATGTTAAGATTTTCTTTATCGAGAAATATGATTATCCCTCCAAAGTAGTCCTTTTTATGATAAAGATCTTATTTAATATAATATAAGTATTGAAAGTTAGAGATTTCATTACGACCCAATTACAACATTTTAATTTGTTACAAAATAAAATATATGGTCTAGCAGAAATGAATATTATAATAAACAACAACGACCCTGTATGCAAAATAAACATTACATTATGCTTAGTAAGGCATATGTTCTAAGAAACCTTTGATTATTTTAGATAATCCAACACCTGTTTATTTAGCATCGTTAACAAAAACATTCTTATAGATTAATAGATGCAGGGTTGGTTATATTTACAAGTTAGGCCATTATTAAAAAAGATTTCTACAGAAATCATAATAAATACCCTGTAATTTAATTAACGTAAAAATGTAGAAGGACGTTTTCAATTAATATTTTTACACGTTTTCAATTTACATTACCTTTGTTAGTAATTTTAATTAAATGGTATAAAATCAATTAATATGGATTTTAAAACATGCATGAAATGCTTATATATAAAGCCTGACATATTTTATTTGCGATTAATACGATCAATAGCAGTTCAATAACCCATAAGAGCAATTTTTAAAGTTAAGTTAATTTATAAATTCAGTTACAAACCATTTTGTAATCATAACATTATAAAACAACATCAATTCTATCACACATTGTCTGGTATTTTAATTTAATAAAAAGTCCCAGGCAGCTGGTTATATTCAGCATTCTAACAATTGATTTAAAAAGATTGAAAGAGCTATTTTACATTACATTAAATAGTTGTATAATTTAAATATTGGTATCTGTATTTTTAACATCAAAGGTTGAAGAAGTTTGTCTTTAACTTGTCCTGCATTTAACTTAGCGGGTCAACAACATTAAGCCACTACTACGTGGGTAACACTGAAAATTTTTTTGAATTTCAATTTTAGAACTTTTTGGTAACCGAATGTAGTTTTTTGCATTCATTTGTCATTTGTTTTTAAAAATGAACGTAACGCGAGAAAATTTTCAGTCAATGATTTATTATGACTTTTGTTGTGGGTTAACTCAACAACAAAGCTATGATAGGCTGCGATTAGCATTTCTTAATGAAGCCCCATCTCGTGCGCCTATTAAAAATGGGTTTAAGCGTGGACGTAGCAATCTCAATGATGATCCGCGTGAGGGACGTCCGGAAGTCCGTGGTTCCATCGAATGCGACGATGTGTAGAGAGGAACGGAGATTAACAATAAAAGTATTGGCAACTTTCTACATAAGCCGTTTTTCATTTTCTAAACATTTTCAGTGTTACCTAGGTATAGTGCTATTAGTTAACTGCGTGATATGCATAATCCCATTAATATAAAACTTACCATATAAAGAATATAACACCCAGACACCATACATCCACCTCTGGTCCATAGCATCCCACTCCATTAGCTCGTAGTACTTCAGGTGCAAGGTAAATAGGTGTCCCACACATTGTCTTCATGAAGCTGTCTTCGCCCACATACTTACTGAGACCAAAGTCTGTTATCTTCACCAGGCTTTCGTCTTCCTTACTCTCAAGTAGCACATTCTCAGGCTGTAATAAATATATATAATGACCGTGCAGACCAATTCAGCATACTTTAGATTTCACTATGTTCAGAATCAGTAAAATTTTTATAAAATTGAAGAAATAGCTAAGCTGGAGTTCTCATAAACAATCAATTTGACCAATGGGATTATGGAAAAAAAAACAATAAAAAAAAAATATAGTAATTCAAATCTCAGTTCTCACTTTTAGGTCTCTGTGAGTGATGCCTTGTGAGTGTAAGTACTGGACGGCTAGCACCATTTGTTTAAAGTAGAATTTGGTCAGCCTCTCCGACAGCCGCCCATATCTTGTGATACGGTCAAACAGTTCCCCTCCCTGCATCAGCTCCAACACTATGTACACGGCTTCACGAGAGTCGAATATTTCTTCCACTGATGTCACACAAGGCTGGAATAACACTTATTACATAATTTATACTTCTTTGTGTATGGCTTTTATTTTATAATAATTATAAAGCTAATATTCCATTCAATAATTGATAATTAGTATCTTTCAAATAAGTATGTTTAATACTTTTTATAATCTCATATATATACTTACATGTCTTAAAGCTTTCAAAATGTTCACCTCATTCATAACTTTGACAGGGTCTGTTAAATTATTAACTTGTCCATTTGTCAATTTGCCTTTCTTTACAACTTTCATCGCAAATTTCATACAAGTCAACTTAAACAAAAATTATAACAAATAAAAAAATGGAACAAAAATATACAAAGAAAGAAAACCAAAAAATTTACCTACTTTGTTATAAACTAATTTGACCACACCACATGCACCTTGGCCAAGTACCCTTGAAATATAATACTTTTGAGCTATTTCTTTAGGTACTTTGTCTTGCTCATTTTTAAGTAGATCTTTAAAAGTGAACACTGAAATAAATTACAAAACAAAAAATATAGTTATTCTAATACCAGGTAAGGTGTACAAAAATAAAAATTCAGTAAAAATGTTCCCAATATCCTTTTCAGAATGTTTCTTTCATGAAAGTAACCTCCCTTACTTTTACAATTTCTTGGATAAACATATTTTATTATACATACTACTTATTGTAGGATGAGTGATTGCTATCACGTCATTGTCATCCAAAACTCTGCTCTTCCCTTTTCCAATTAAAACACTATTTATGTAAGTCCCATTATAAGATGTATCCGTTAAGACTGCTGGACTTGATGTCTCTCTGAAAGAATAATATTAGATATTAATCATTTCCATTTGCGATACTTTGGATAAGAATAATCACAACAATACCTACGATCTATCTCTCATAATAATAAAATGACGTTTGCTAACATTTTTAATAATATCAATTCTTGCAGTATCTTTTTTAATTGGAAAAGTAGAATCTAACGCCCGACCAACCGAAAACTCGGGTTCTGTGAGATCTGAAAAAATGTTGCAGAATTACTTCTACTAGCTCATAAATAATTTTTGCAAACATATTTTACTAACGGTATACCGAAATTGTACCATAGTATGGGTCAAGATTAAGGACGCATTCTTTTCTCCATGAATTCAAAAGATATAGTCTTCCCAGATATTAGGTATCGGTGTAGGAGTGTTTGATTGGGTCCATTCCACTTGAGAATTTTGGGTTTGAGTTTGGGTTTGCGTATTATCATTTATTTCCGCTGCCATGCTGCTTCAATCTTAATACACTCAAGTCCAAAAACAATTTTAATGATAATAACATGAAAAGCTCAAGGTGTTCATTAAAATATTGTTCCTAAAAATTTGAGAGCATTTCAACTATTTATACTCACGATATACACAAAAATACCGGCATTTCGAAAAAAGGCAACGGTCATCGGCCATATTAAATAATATATACAATGTTACAAACTTACACAGATATTTCATACGTACATTACAGATTATAGACCACATAAACATAGACATAAATTAAGGTAACAATCATCTTTAACTCTTTACTTTTAGTTTTCCATGCAATGCTAGTAATTTTTAGTATCAATAGTAAAAGACTAAATACGTATAGGTAGTATTTAAATTTCATAGAAATACAGTTACTATCAATGTAAAAAATAATAAAATAAAATCAAGTATCAAGTAAGTTTAATCCACAAAATATATCAAACTTTTAGGGATATCATACTAAATTTTTTTGAATTTGCCGCGCTTTTTCGTTATCTTCTTTCATTATTCAGACTAAAAAATCTTAAATTGTTTTTACTTTTATTTATTTTATATTTGATTTTGATTTTTCGTCATTAAATGCTGCTTGCTTGTTTAGAAACAATAAAATAAATTACATAATTCAGTGTTGCCAGATGGTCTCGGCGTCGTACCCGTAGACTAATTTGATTTCCCACCAGAAATCCTCTAGGATGCTTGTGTAGTGTTATTACTGAATTTTCATGTAATTTTAGAATTTGTGACCCAGTGAGAGCCTAAGTGCGGAAACTGAGTCCACCAACCTTTAACCTTTTATGGTGGTTAAAATTATCAGAAATAGTCACCCCTATCACCTTCTAACGGGAATACGTCGAATTATCAATACTGCTGTATTTGTAGAGTCTGGCTAATGAAAGTTAATACTGAAAAAGCGCGACAAATTTAAAAAAAAAGCATGGCAGCCCTAAAGTAAAAAGGAAAGTTGGAACAACTCACTTTGATACTTTGACATTCATTTTTATTTTACTAGTGGATGCTTGCAATTTTGACACCCAGCATCTTTTTCGTCTTCTCAGTCGACGGCGAATAACGCCTTTAGTACACCTACGCGTTCGTATGCGGTTGCGAGTCTTTGCGAAATAATTGCGGTAGCGAAATATCTGCGGAACGTTAGTACACTGCAGTTTTTTCGCAAGGAAATGTCATTGTAGCTTTCGTGGGCTGTAGGTGCAGACGTCGTTTCAGAATGTCATCTGAGTCGTCCCAGTCGTCGCTTTCAGATTCTGAAGAGGAAGAATTGTTGTTGCTGGCGTCGGTACTAAAGAGAAAGCGTCGAATCTGGGTGCATGAAATAAATCAGAAACGAAGAAAACTCGGAGAAAATAAGCTATGCTTAGAACTTCAATCACATGAAGATCGTAGCCCAACTAAATTTAATTCGGGATAATTTCGAATCAAATTCAATAATTATTCAATATTTTCGGCTTCCATTGTGCGAAATTCTGTCCTCACCGACAGAACGCGTGGTGACGCCTTGCGAAACTCCACTAGCGAAACGGCTGCGTCTGTGTAACAGCCATTTCGCAGTTACTTGCGAAACAATACCGACAAGGACGCAACTATTTCATCTAGCTATATATTAGAGCGAGACAAAACACATGCGAAACGTTGCCATACAACTTACAGTTTTTTCGTCGTTTCGCTGCCGCATGCGATTGCGTAGGTGTACTAAAGGCGTAAGTAACGGAAATAGCAATGTTTCTTCGTCAGAATCCATGTTGAAACTGACACGACGCCACTACCGGTTCGAGCGAACTAGCTGAAATATGTCAGTTTCGCGCGTCCGGTTTTTTGAAACGCGTATGCTGAAACGACCGTGTACGCGCAGAAAAATATGCTAGTTCTTACCGCCCTTACTACTATTTTACAAATACATCGCAATTTTTTCCATGACATATGTCAATGATAATAAATTGTGTGAACAAAGAAGTGTGCTTTGCTTTGATTTGGATAATTACTCGGGCACAGGGTAAATCATAATGCTTAATTTCTATCTACAGCACATATTACACACTATTATAGGTTGTAAGTTTTTAAGTAAAAATTTTTCTATATTTTATTTTTTATTGTAGAATTATCGGTGTAACTAGTTCTTTAGATAAATAAATAAATGAACATAAAATACTGTAGATTTTGCCAAATTGAAATTTTTGGGTGCCTATTAACATTGCAAACGACAAAGGAAAAGCTTTCAATCGGATTTATTGACAAAGTTCATTTTAAAGTTTTAATGAACGGAGGGAAATCATCACGTGTCATGTATTTCGTGTCACGTTTCACGAACATTGATTATTTTATATTATATTATTCGAAATATTTTGCTTCTCTCTAATCTTTGCTTTATGACCATTAAAAAAACAGTGGCGCTACGGCCTATGGTCTAGGCCTCACATATATTATAAGGCAGTATCTTGAATATAGTTTATCTTATATATACATATATAAGAAAATCTAGACAAGTCTGAGTCTACGAATTGCCGGTTTCCTCACAATGATTTCCCTTCACCGTAGAAGGGTAAATGCACACATAATCACGCCGAATCTCAGGCTTGAGAATCGCATACGCAAAACACTAGGCGAACAGCGCCTTTATTTGTGTTATTTAATACGATAAATAAAATTGATACCTAATAATAGGTTATAATTACCAGACTGATAGTCCGTAGGAAGTGAAAAAAAACATTAATTCGTATCTAAATAAGCCTTTGATTACATTAGTAGAGGTACTCATTAAACAAAGAGCCCCAAAACTGATCAGCAGGCTGGCGTACTCTGGACGCTCTATTCCCTACAAAGGTGAAATAGGACCTTAACTTCAATAAGCCAACTATATAGTTCAAAGAGTACAAATAACAGGTAATATACAATGCAAAATTTAATATTTCCTACGTGTTTGGGTAC